TTGTGCCGATATTAATCCCCTATTTACCAGCTACCTACAAAACGATTTGCATAAAAGAAACATGGTTTGTTCCCCAAGTCACTTAATGCTGGGCATTATTTCCTCCTTTGTTTGTTTACCAGGGATCTCCTGGGACTAGACTGGAAGCTCCCTACAGGTGCAATTTTCATATTAATTTTTTTTAAATCCCACCTGCATTTCCATAGGACTTCCTGGCAGGCACTTAATAAATATTTTGTGCAATGAAAGAATAAATACCAAATCAATATTTAGACCTCTCTAGAGGGCTAAATCATTGGAAATGGGAGAGCACCTGTTTGTCCCCTGAATGGAACAGCTTCTCTGCCGTAATAGTTATTGATATTTAAGGCTGTAACTGACGGGTGTGAGGGGCTTTGGGAGTCGCAGCGACAGCGAATGTGATTTGGATGACGTTCAAGGCTCGGGACTCTGCAGGAAGGTGCTGCTTTGTTCGGTGGCGATACATCTTGACACACGCTAGTGAGTGTGGCGTGTTTCACCAAACCAACCACCGTTTTAACACCCTTGTGGCAGAGTGGCTGCACATTGGGCTGCTAATCGCAAGGTCAGCAGTTTGAATCCACCAACTGCTTTGATGAGGCGTTCTACTCCTCAAAGAGTTAGAATCCGGGAAACCCACCAGGGGAGGACCACCCTGCCCTAGAGGGTCCCACGGGCCACCAAGGGTTGGGATGGGCCTGATGGCGATGGGTTTGGTTTTGGGTCTGCAGGCGAGCAAGGAGTCCTTGTGGCCAACGGGTTACGCCTGGGGCTGCTACCTGCCAGGTCTGTAGTTCAAACCCACCAACCGCTCCCTGAGAGAAAGTTGAGGCTTCCTGCTTCTGTCAAGACGGAGTCTTGAAAGGCCACAGGGCCCGTCCCACTCTGCTGTGTAGGGTTGCTGTCAGCATCCAATCGACTGGATGGCAGAGAGAGTCTAGGTGCATCCGTTCATGATGGGCGGGGGCAAAGAGAAAACAGCCCCTCACAAGCACGCTTGGTGAAGGAGCCAAAGCCATCGGCTGCATTACATTTTGACTGGCGTCACTGTCCCTGCAGTGCTCTGCGGGCCTCAGCGGGAGTCTCAGAGGGTCACCTGTGCTGTGGACCTCCGTGCGGTGGGCTTCTGTCTGTCCAGACCGAGTGCCTGTGAGCGGGTTGGCGGCTCCAGCTGTAGGAAGTGTGTTTCTCACAGCGTCTGTTTTCACTTGAGATGGTGTCTGATGGACAAGCAGAGGCCCAGACCTGGCTCCTTGGCAGCTTCTCTTGACGGTGACTGACGGACGCCTGCCTCGCCAGCAGGAACAACTGACAGCGCTCGTTACTCGGATGAGACGGAAGCTCTCAGGCAAACATTCCGACTGTTCACGACATCATCCCCATGACCCCCGCCGTCGAGTCCATCCCTAGTCCCAGTGACCCTCCGTAGGGTCTCCGAAGCCATCACTCTGGAGGGGAGGGAGCGGACAGCCTTGTCTCCCTCCTGCAGAGTGGCTGGTGGGTTTGAACTGCAGACCTTTCACACCGTCAGGGCTCCCTGTCAAAGTGCCAGCGCTCCGGAATGTCTCGGATGGGCTTTCACCTTGCACGCCAACCTTTACAAAGCCAGCAATTGCTCAACTTTCTTTTGACAAAGTACCCCAAGATCCGCCGTGACCTGAACAGGCCATTACAGTGCTCCTTCCTCCCCACCCCCCACCTCATGTCCGTGGGAGGTGGGCTTTCCTCACAGTCTTCGATCAAAATAACATAGTGCAAGGGATTAAGTGCAGAAACAGACACGAGCATCAAGTGGTCTTTCATTAAGCCAGACACGGATTGCGTCTGGAGGGAAAAACTTCATAGCAATGCCTCTCTTCGCGATATTTCTTTCTTTGCTCTTGAAAATATAGTTATGGTTCATAAGCCGGTTTTACATGAACCTGTGATGACCTCAATATTATGTTTAAGTGAATCAATACACAATCTTAAAGTTCAGTCTTATCTCTAATGTGATCCATAGGAGACGATGGAACTCCTAAAAAGCAAGCATTTTGAAAGTCTTC